CTCAAACCTCACTGTGTAATTGTAATGATACTTCCCAAACCTACCCGAGTCTCTCTGTGTAATTATATTGATACTTCACGAACCTACCTGAATCTCTCTGTGTAATTATATTGATACTTCCCAAACTACCTGAATCTCTCTGTGTAATTGTAATGATACTTCCCAAACCTACCCAAATCTCTGTGTAATTGTAATGATACTTCCCAAACCTACCCGAGTCTCTCTGTGTAATTATATTGATACTTCCCAAACCTACCTGAATCTCTCTGTGTAATTATATGTGCTTCCCAAACCTACCCAAACCTCTCTGTGTAATTATATTGATACTTCCCAAACCTACCCAAATCTCTCTGTGTAATTATGATACTTCCCAAACTACCTGAATCTCTGTGTAATTATAACGATGCTTTCCAAACCTACTCAAACTTCACTGTGTAATTGTAATGATACTTCCCAAACCTACCCGAGTCTCTCTCTGTAATTATATTGATACTTCCCAAACCTACCTGAATCTCTCTGTGTAATTATATTGTACTTTCCAAACCTACTCGACCCTCACTGTGTAATTGTAATGATACTTCCCAAACCTACCCGAGTCTCTCTCTGTAATTATATTGATACTTCCCAAACCATGATAGGTTTCACTCTACTTATAATCACACATAGAGAGGTTCAGTTAGGTTGATAAGTATCAATATAACTGCACAGTGAGGTTCAAGTAGGTTTTAAAAGCACAATATAATTACACAGAGAAATTCAGGTAGGTTTGGGAAGTATCAATATAATTACACTGAGAGACTCGGGTAAAGTTTCTAAGCTTATGCAAAAAAGAAAAAAAAAAGTTCTCCAAAGTTATGAGTACTTGCTAAAGCAACTTGGGAGGTTAAATTTTCAGAACGTTTTCTTGAAAAAGAAGACATATAAATCTTTTTTCACATTTGTTTTTTTATACACAACAAAAATGGTTATAATCATACTACATGTGGGACAAGTTTGAGAAGTATTATTCTCGCTAGTGTGTGGAAACACATAGATATACATTTCAGTTCACAGCTTTTCACTGTGATACAACTGCAACAACAAACAGTAAACTCATGTAGTACAAGAAGCATGAATAATCAAAAGGTGTTGTGACAAATATGGCCTACATGATTCCTTCCCAAAAAGGTACACCAAAAATGTATTTAATTTAGAAAGTCTTATAACTATTAAACTGTATTCAGCTATAAATGTTTGAAACATTTCATGGCAGAGTACACATAATAAAACAACTAGCTGATAAGTCATTTTTCGTGTACTAATCTTGTAAATGTAGAAAAATAAAAAAGAGTCCAAGGTACTCACAGGGTGCAAGCTACAAAGGTAAAACAGGATAAACTGTACATGAACTGATGCATGTGTTGGTAGAATCATTTTGTCAAAGATCACCAAGAAGTCCTTGTAGAGTTGTTTAGTAGTTTCCCAGTTCAGTTCCTTGTTCCCATCTAAAAAACAAATTATAAAGTATTTGACATTTCTGTTAATTTGCTTGAGTGTATAATAAACAGCTGTTTAACAAGCATCTTAATAGTAGGCAGGCTGAGATCCAACACTACTGATGAGGGTGAGAGGATTATTCTGGATTACATTTAGTTCTGTATGAAGTAATAACACTGCTTGAAAGCAAAAGAAAACCAAAACCATCAACCTGAAAAGGCAAGAGGGTAAAAACCATAATCTAAACAAAGAAAGGAAACTGAACCAATAAAAGACTTCCAGAAATCATCTACGGTATTAACTTGTAAATACTGATCACGATTTTGTGAAAGGGCCATTTACAACAGTTTTCTCATGTCTAGGAACACTACACAATACAATATAGGGGAATGTGTATACTGGAATAAGTTTGTTTTCATCAAATTTTAAGATAGCCCCAAAAGACCTTAATTACAAATAAACAAGATTTCATCAATATTAAAGGTACTTATTTCATTCTGATAACATTACCTATTACGGAATAATCGAGAGGTTATGACTTATGTGTTACATACTCTTGTACGGAGTACTTGCTCCATCTTGAGTAAACTGAAGAACTGAGTTAATTAAATAATCTTGAATAAAATTATCATCACAGTTAAAAGAAGTAACTATTGCATTGAATAAATCACAACTTTTTTTTTTTAGAAATTACAGAAAAGTAACTTAAGAAAGCAGAAAATAAATCACATTTTAGCCAATATTAATCTAACTTCAATAAAACACTGCTAAAACACAGTTGGATGGAGTAAAGATGTTGGATGCACAAACTGATTTAAACTGATTTACTCAGTCTTTTTGAATTGTCACATTGCATCACTGGGAACAATGTTATCCTCAAGGTTACAGGTGTTCCAAGATGGCAATGCCACCATCCGTCAAGTTGGTACTGTTCATGACTGGCTTATTACACCATCTTCCCTGGCCACCACAATACCAAGAACTCAAATAACACTTAAGAATATTGTCAAACTTACTGGATCATGCTACATGACGCAGTCCCCCCCCCCCCACTTTCAATCCTAGAAGAATAAGGAGACAATACTGCTGGAATACAAACATAACGTACTCCACACTATTGGTAAGTCTATGCCACAACAGATTTAGGGAGTGATTAAAGCATGCTTTGGTCCAACACACTATTAGAACATGATTTCTAGTTGTTGTTTTTTGGCAGGTAGCGTAATATGTTCTTCAAAAAAAATTTCAAAATAAATGATCATTATTATTTTTTTAAAGTCCCCCCTCCCCCTATAATAAATAGTACCAGTCTCATACAAGAAATATTAAATACAATACTTTAGAGATGAAAAATTGAACGTATGAGAGGTACCACAGATTGGTACATTATTGTATGAGAAAGGAAGCTTCTACTAAAAATTTTCTCTCTACTATTTTCTAATATTTCCTACTTCCGTTTAAAAAAAAATCAGTAATCCTAATCTTTGCCAACCACCAAAATTTAAGTTGTTTTTTTTTTTCGTTTTTGTTATTTACATTTTTATGGTTTATTACCATCTGGTCAAGCAATAAGATAAAATACAACCACTATTAATTTAGAAATTTAGCAGCTGATCAACTGCTTAAACAGAAAACTTTTATTTCAATTTCACTCAATTTTCTACAACCAGCAAGCCTTAAAGACCTTTCAAAAATTCATTTAACTATAAAGAATTTTTTTCACAAAAACAATATTGTTCTTTTCTTATATTCAGAAATGTAGCATCAATAACTCGGTAATGCAAATGCACAACCACACTTTATAAAGAACTATATTCTATGTGCTTCTAATACTTCTGTCTGTTTCCAAAACTGTTCCATTGCTTAAATTCTGTTATTATATCTCCATTCCCTATTCAATCTATTGTAATTATAATAGTTAGCTTTATGTTAATGCTAGCCATGCTTATTTCTCTGAATCATCACTGGTTGAGGTGGTAGTTGCAGAAGAAGTCTGTTCACAATTTTGGCCAATGGGGAAGCTTCTTATCACTCTTAAATGCTTCCTTCTTAAGGAAGTGACTCAGAAACCAGCCAATACAAGCCACAAAGTAGAGAGAAATTTGGCTTTTATAATTCACTTAATCTGTTGTCAAAAAATAAAGTTTTATCATGTACAACCATTTAGTAATTACACATTCAAAACAAGACGTTTGAATATTGTGACATTTGCATTTTACTTATTGGCATTATCCAGTAATTTCTGTTTACTAGGTACAGAACTGAAACAAGTGTAAACTAGCTTTAAACAGTTTCAGGAAGGGTAAAAGTAAAAATTTTTTAATAGACTTAGAAAAGGTCACTCTTTTATATACATCTTTCTATACACATACACACACACACAGATATATATATAATAGATAGATAGGTTTTTCTCTTTAGTTTCATACTTTTGTATTGTCTAGAACAACTTAGAAGCACATTTGAACATATTCTAATTCAAGGAGAGCCTAGAGTCTCAGATTAGACTATAGAGAAAGCAGTCCTGAAACTCCCCACTTATTTTTACCTATCAAAAGTGCAACTAATTTTCTGGTGCACCATGAACTTAAAGTCACCCACATTCCACCACATTCAATTTAAAATATTTTCTTTACATATTTGTGTTATTGTTCTGAATAACACCACTTGTTTAATCACAGCCTAGGTTTAAAACCTCCCAAGGTACCTAATTAGTTAAATATTTCGCATTACATTCAGCTACACAAAAATCTGGTTTTGGGGACATACAGCGCATGCTCGTGTTAGTTTTGGGGACATACAGAACGTGCTCATGCTAGTTTTGGGGACATACAGCACATGCTCATGCTATAAAACCGAGTTCAGACACATCTTCGTGGATCAAGTAATGATGTGTATATAAAAATAAACTATTTTATTTTGAAAGGGAATTTTTTTTTCACTATTCAACCATCATGAAAACAGAAACAAAAGATTATTCATACCTTGAATACCACAAACACAATCAATAAAATGAAAAATGTCTTCCATCATGATGTCCAATGTGTTGGCTAATGGATCATTCATGCTCAAGCTGGAAGGTGATTGTTCATCTGTCTCCTAATAGAAAACATAAATTTATTAAAAGACAGTTTCAATTCTCAAGTACATATATATGTGTGTGTGTGTGTGTGTGTGAGTTATTTACAGAGATTGTGAATTATAAGTTACATACATGGGTGATAGATCTTAGTGGTCTCGTCTACTTTAACAAAAAGCGAAGGTTGTCCTTTCTAAGCTTTTCTCAAAAATACTTTAAATTATAAAAAAAACTTGTTTTTGCATTTACACAACAAAACTTCTTCCATTTTTTCTTCATAAACATGAGAATATATCGTTAAAACAACTAATGTTTTTTTGTTAAATGAAAATACCATATTTGAAATCTTAAAATGTTTGTTTTATCCAATTAATTATTCAAATGTTGATATAATCCTTTCTACTTTCAAAAAAATGTTTTTAAAACTACCAAATTGAACATCTATAGTAACAGTTTTACAACAGTATCCTAACAGTGAATAAAATTTCTTTATACTGAGTTTTTTGCATAAAAATATATCTAAAAGTATAAGATAAAAATAAAATTTAGGAACATTAAAGTTAGTATCTTAAAGAGGACATTACATACTAATAACTTATCAGCTTGTATAAAAGCATGTGTAAGCAAATTAATTTCAATCATTTGTTATGTTCAGCTTCCTTAGTAGTAATATATTTCCTAAAGAATTTATAATTTTCCTATACCGAAAATGTTTTTCCAATAGGTACTTACCTCATGGCTTGTGGCATGCACAAAAAAATTATGCATATAGAGGGCAGCACTGAATGAGAATAGCTATTTATGTGAGTTGATGCTCCCACCCATCTGTAATTGACTGATTCTAATGCATTTTGCATGCAAATCATCATGCAACATCATACTCTCTTGACACATGCGACTCCTCTGTTCAATTTTATCGAACTAGCACTTCATGTTTAGGTAAGTACGTATTGGAAATACATTTTCAGTATAGGAAAATTATAAATTCCAATACGGTACATTACCTCCACTCACATAAATAGCTAGAATCCCACATGGAATAGGTAGGGGGGAAAGAAAAAAACATCCTTCAAAAGCATCCAAAGAACACTCCCAAAGAGACCTTCAGAGATCATAAGTGGGAGACTACACCACTTCTGTACAAGTTACAAATATCACTATTGTATAATAAAGACTAAACGTGTTGAGAGAAATTACTGCAAAGATATGGAAAAAAATTAAAATAAAACACTTGAAGAGAGTATATAACTAAATGTTATAACACGAGTATTGCCAAATGAGAAGTGACAGTTTGGTAGAATTAAATAGAAGGAGTCACATATGTCAAAAGAGTACGTCACACTCTTATTGGTGGAGTATTGTCACATGATGATTTGCATGCAAGATGCATTGAAATCAGTCAATTCCAGATGGGTGGGAGCATCATGGCTTGTGGCATGCACAAAAAAAAATTATGCATATAGCGGGCAGCACTGAAAGAGAATAGCTATTTATGTGAGAAGAGATAATGTATCATATCAGAAGACTGATAAGCTAAGTGTTAAAGAAATAATGAAGAATTATAGTTTTTTTATTAAGCACAAAGGTACACAGTGGGCTATCTGTGCTGTGCACACTGTAGATATCAAAACCTCTTTTCTAGCCCTCAGATTTGCAGCTGAGCTACAAGGGGGGAAGATTTATTGTTACATATAGTTTAGGAAACTGATATCAGAACAAATGTTTTATTTATCATATCTGTGATATTCACATGCATTTAATGGAAGATCTTGATAATTAGATAAAAATCTAATACCATGAGAAAAACATTTTCAGTATCCATATGGTCTTCCTCTTCTGCTTCTTCTATCTTGTCTTTAGGACAATGTACCTATAGTTATTGTAAACAAAGAAATAGTTCAATACACATAAAAAGTATAAAAATTGGATTAAAAAAAACAGGATTTTCTCTATAAAAAGAAAGTTAAAAAGAAACAAAGAAACTAGGCCTATCTTTTGAAATATTAAAAAATTCCATTTTTAGGTATATTTTAGATGTAAAATTATATATATATATCAATGTCCTAAGTTTTCAAAGAGATGATTCCTTACATTCCAAGAAAGGCTTCCAAGTGTTTAAGTTATTAAACAATCTATGTTAATTTACTACAGAAAGCACATGGAGATTGTGATTTGCTTTTTTGTAATGCTTTAAGATACATATTAATCTTAGCTTTTAGTCTAAATCTAAAAATAACTGTTACACTACTGGTATATACTACAATTCAGTTTTTGAAATATGAAATATTTTTAACAACAATGGAAATTGCATGGAAGGAAAGAATTAATATTAAAAACTAATTTGACAACAGAACCAAAAATAAAACTTGATTATTTTACAAATTCACTACTATATTTAAAATTATTGATATATTATTATACAAGGTTGAGTACATTAATAATATAAAAATGATTTTGCATGTCCAAATCAGCACCACAGCTAGTGTAAAGTCACAATAGAGCGTAATGCATTAGAAGTACATTTTGACATTGTTAGACATTTTTTACAAAGTGCAATAGCACTGAAAATTTATCACTTTTGGTAAGGGTATGTAACAGCCCTTTCCAATGCAAAATATTCATACGCTCAATTCAGGGATTTACAATTTACAATACAGAGATATCCCTTGAACTTAATGGCTTTGGAAAATAAAGGAATTTGAATCAACTTGAGATCCCAGGACCCTCCAGAGAGAGTTGCAATAAATCATACCCCAGCAAAATGAAGCATCTTATAACAGGTGAGAATCCATGGACACAAAGATAGTGGAAAAAGTGTCTCAGACCACAGATACGACACTATCTAAAAGAATTTCCTTCTGGAAACGTGACATAACTCAAGTAAACATAAGTTGCTTCCATTACATATCAGTTCAACCATCACATCTCAAGCAGCTGGAGATTGAAGCAGATATTCATGCTACTGTACACGAATATATACATAAGGAAAGAAGCAGTGCCTAATGATTTCTGTGCAATTGGACTGTTGACACAGGAGCTACGAAACCAGCATTTTCTGGCACTAGAAACATTATGGAAAGCTACCCAGAGGAAGGTTTGTTCTTTGAACATAAAGCCTTGCAGCAGAACCTTTTGCAACAGAATAGCTACTGAATGACACTATCATCCAGATGCATGGTTGTCAGACGGAGCATGACTGGATGTGGCATCACAGACTGTAACAACACAGTAAGGCTTCAAAATCATTTTAATATAATGTACTCAACCCTGGTAGATATTCAGAAAAATCTACTCACATCAATGTTTAGAACTTTATCTATCAGTAAGCCTAAAATCTTTTGCCTATGAACAGAAAGGTAGCCACACATTCTCAGGATATTTTTTACATAGGACACTTGGGAACAAGGATCTTTCCGCATATAGGGGAAACTATCAGCAAGAAGTGGAAACAGAATATTTGGTGTCCTAGAGTAAAAAAGTATTATATTTTCTATATACACAAGATTTTCAAAGTAAAACATGTTAACCAGTATTATTATCGTAAATTAATTAACCCATTCATTACATTTATCATAATACTGTTTTCAGAAATAGTTCACTTTTACTGATGTTTATATACTACGTCAACAGAGGATTTGGTGCTATGTACAGTGAGACAGGAGCTAATGCATATTTTAAAACAACGATACTGATAGAAAATCTTTTTTTCCTGGTGTTTGATAAGGCAATTTAGTGTTACTGGTACTTAAAAATACTTGCTGGTGAGGATAAAACTGACATACTAGGTGATATCTGATGCTCAAGTTATATTATATGGTGATATTGTCAATTGTTACAATACAAGTGAGCAGAAATAGTGATGAAAATACTGCTGAGTATTGATGCTATAATGATGCATGGTTCAGAAGAGGTGATGTTAATGTACGACGATGAGTTAAATTTAACTGATGCATGTTAGCAAGATTTTGGACTCCATTTTTGGCAGAGAAAGTTCAGAAAATATATTCTGTTGATGATAAATTTCAAATTGTTGACTGATACAGAAATATTTGAAATCTCATACATTGTGTCACTCAATGATTTCATAAGCTTGCCATTACACATACGTATTCAAGTAATTGTTTGTTTGTTTGTAGTTAAGCACAAAGCTACAAAAAGGGCTATCTGTGCTCTGCCCACCACGGGTATCGAAACCATGTTTTTATCATTGTAAGTCCGCAGACATACCGCTGTGCCACTGGGGGGCTTATTTGTTTTTTGAATTTTGCACAAAGCTACACGAGGGCTATCTGCGCTAGCCGTCCATAATTTGGAAGTGTAAGACTAGAGGAAAGGCAGATAGTCATCACCACCCACCGCCAACTCTTGGGCTACTCTTTTACCAACGAATAGTGGGATTGACCATCACATTATAATACCCCCATGGCTGAAAGGGTGAGCATGTTTGGTGTGACGGGGATTCGAACCCGCGACCCTCAGATTTCGAGTCAAGCACCTTAACCACCTGGCCATGATGGGCCACTGGGGGGGCTATTCAAGTAATACCCTAATATTAATTTCAGTACTTTTTAATACTTTCTCTTTATTTTGTCAACAGCATAATGAAATATGATTTGTAAGAAACAAATAGTTTTAAAGCTTATTGGATTTAACTCTCGTCTAATAAATTAAAAACATAATTGAACGTCAAAAAAGGGTTTTATGTAGGATTATTAATAATTCTGCTAAGAAAATAAAAAAAAACAGCATTATTTAATGAACACTTAAAACAGCTTGTAAATATTTGGGATGATGTGCTAACTGTAGCACAGATGTTCTAATTACTATCACGTTTGTTCACCCTGTTTTTTTTTTTACAGAAAGCCTCAAACAGTAGGTTGAAAGGGGTAATAAAAATATAATAATAATAAATGTATATATTGTCAGAAACAAACATTATCTTTGGCAGCTTGCTCTCCACTAAATGAACTTTTAATATAGAATTAGGGAATGTAACAACACTCTTTAAAGAAGTATGTGCATGTTAAAATTTAAAGCACTAGACAATACGGTACAAAAGTTATACAAGTTTATTTGCATACTTACAAAGGTACAAGATTAATTATTTCCTGTAGCAAAACATGGGCTCTGTCAAACATTTTCTGCTCTTCTACTGTAACAGTAGATATTTCAACTTTACCTTCACCAGTCCTTAAAGATGCTAAAATTAAAATCAGTTATTAGTGCACAGTTTTTAATTCCGCTCAATTTTAGCATCAAAACAGAAAATTAGTATGACTATTATAATACCATTAACTTTCAATGGTTGAGTCGCCCGATGTTTTAGAATAACTGTTACCCAACCAATAAGATAATAAAACTTTGATTTCAACTTATTTATTCTTTGTAGTTTGCTGATAGCACAGGAAAGCAAAAGATGCTACAGTTGATAAGCTAGACTTTTTTTTTCAGCCACGTGAAATAATATCTAGTCTCGTTTGTTTTTATGTAGCTGATTTTATCCTGATCTTTATACCAATTAACGGCAATCTGAGAAAGCCTTCTAGAGCTTCTGCTTTTAACAAGTTCCATCAAATGTGTGATTACATTTTTTCATCACCAAAATTGTGAATTTTGTAAAAATAGTAGTACAGAAGTAGTAAAATGAATATAATTTATTCTGAAAATACGTAGATGGATATTGATTACTTGTGGTAATTAAGGAACAATCCAAACATCATTAAGTGCTATTATTTTCTAATAAAACACACAACTTTCATTATTTATTAAAATTCTGAGCTTCGAAAAGAATATCTGGCTAACAAGCATATTCTTTACATTCACTGGCTTTTTAGTTTAAAAACGACCACATTCTTTTGTTGAGTTTTAATGAAACATTTAAAAGCAATCCTATTATTGCCATATTGAAATAGTTTAACCTACCAACATGCTTGACCAAATAAATATCTTGATATTTCAAAGTGACACAAACAAAAAGTACACCAAAATATATTTGTCTTGTTCCTACCTCTATTTAAGATAAAATTTTTAAGTTTAGTGGACCAGAGAACAGATTTCTGTATCAAAAATTGCACAAACTTGTCATTCAAATGGATCTAACACCCAAAGTACTATTTGACTTCACCTTTCAGAAAGAGATTCAGTCTCAATCTCTTACTTTAACACATTATTACTGATTTATTTATTTTTTAATCCTTTTTTCAATGTCAGATGCACTTAACTAAAATACTTTAAGTATAACATTTAAATAAAATCTTAAAACTACAATGGTTCACTTGTGTACCTGATATTAGGTAAAAAATAAATAAATATATATACATATAAATCTCTATCTTCTGTAAACTTTATCATATTCCTGAACTCATTACTAGGTTATAAAAAATAACTACATTCTGAATTTCTTAAAATTCTAATACAACATGATTTCCTACAAACATATACAAAAGTCAGCATAAATATCTTAAGTTCAATAAACTATGTTACTGTCATGAACATATGCAGAAAAGATAGAAGTAAAATTACTGTAAAACAGGTTAATCAATTCTCAAAACAATTACCTTTCAAGAATATCTGTATTAGCATTTTTAAGACAGGACGCAAGTAACACGTGTGAGCAGACACCAAATTTAAAATCAATTCTTTATAAACTTCCACAAATTCAACACCTCGATTAGTCCAGTTCATTTTCTGAAGAAAAAACAACAACAAGGAAACACTTATTTTAAAATACACCTATCAAACATGACAGTAATAGTAAAAAGCACTGATAGAAATGAACAGAGAATGCTCATGTGTAAACTTAATACCACTTAATAGCAAGGAAATTTTACTAAGATGGTTTCTTATGCAAAAAGTTCAAAATTAGCTGGAACTGGAATATTTGTAGTCATCAAAAGAAAAAAATGTAATTTCTTTCTTTCTTACCACCCATCCAAAAAACTATTACCACATCTTTGTCTTACTTGGTTTACATCATATCTTTCTTTACATACTGAAGCACCAAATGACCACCTTTACAAAAATACGCGACTTCCCAAAACCAACATTTTTACAATAAAGATCCTTGTATTAGAACATGGTGGACAAAAATGTAATAATGAGTAATCATTTCATCAGAACATATATTAATGTCTGAAACCAATTGCTAATATTAAAAGTATAATTTTCTTTTTTCCTTTCTGGAGTTGATTACTTCTGACAAAAATTTAATAAACTAAAACATAAATATCACACCAAATAAATACTGCTTTCTGTTTTTACTATTGTTACATTTTTTGCCATCATGTATCTATTAATTCAAAATATGTTCAAAGCTTGTTCTTACATCACCAGGAACTTTCAAGGTGATATTTCCAACATTGATGTTTATACCAGTATTTAATAAACAAAACAAAAACCCTGCACTACATTAAAATGAAGAGTCTGTTTTAAAGTCTCAAAAAATGACAAGAAATCAAATGTAAAATTTGATTTAAAAAATCTAGTCCTTATTTTTAACATATAAAAATTTGATTCTTAAATTAAAAAAACTATGCATCTCTTAGTATATTACAAAAAAAATATTATTTGTGGTAGGTATTGTTTTTCCAACAAAATGGTAATGATACCTGTACAGTAAAAGTAAAGACCCAACTGAAAGAAAATTGATCAGTTTTTACATTTTTTTAGCATAAAAACAACTCTGACCTCAAATATGGAAAAAATTAAAATATGTAATTTGGTAAAATCAAACCAATAATGTAAGAGATGTGCAGGTTATTGATTGTTAATTAATTTGCTAGACCACCATGGCTGATTAATGATTAAACAAGACCAATTACTAATTCTTTGAATACTGCTCAGCCTTGGGTGCTATATGTGACTAGAATATTCATGTCTCCTCTTCCATTCCCCAAGCTTTTATAATTAAGTACCTATTTTATGTAATTTGTTTGTTTTTAGAAATTCTGGTGTAGACTAGTATTTACGTGATGAGTTGGTTTGGGAAGTGCAAGTGTAAATGGTGCAACTTTTATTACTTAAGTATAATTAGGTCTCAAATATATATAATAATTAAGAAACGCTTTATTTAAATTGCATTAACAGTTAACACTCTAATCTCTTTCTCACCAATCCATTTGTTAGTCATTTAGTAATCATGATAGTGAAATTCAGTAAGAAATATTACTATTATCTTGTCTTGTTAGTCCAATGTATTAATTCAAGAGAAAATACCTTACTTTTATTTACATGATCTATAATTAGTGATAATTGTAGTATAAACCTATTATTTTGCATAAATATTACTTTATTTTATTAGTTAACTTAATTATTCTTTATTCAAGTTTTATGTTGTTAATTTGTTTCAAATAATTAGAGAAAAATACAGTCTTTTACAGCATAAATGAGGATCTGTTACTCTGTACTTACAGGACTCGTTGCTGGCAACATGGCTACAACAACTGAAAGATAACATCTTTTTACTTGACGTAAACAATGAACATCTTGTTGGAGTTATATTGGTAGGATGTCTCGGAAGTACACTTTTCTTCTCACTTTAAGTTATACTTGAAGAAGACTGGATTTGCTGTTAAGCTATACCCAAACTATGATGTTAATTAAATCAATTATTTGTTTATTTTATTTTAATAACTATTTTACAGGTCACATTCTTACATAAAAAGTATATAAATGTCACACATGATTAAAACAATAATAAAATTAAAAGGGTACAATTAATGATGCAAACTTCAGGAAATTCAATTTAACAAGAATCTATGCATTTGCTTATTGTTAGGATAACTAATTATTTTGAAAATAACTGGCCACTCATTTCTGGTAAGTGTACAAAATTCTGTTCTTATATCTTCCTGTATTATTTCTTTTATTATCCCCGGCACATCAGTTAAACAAAAGTCTCAACACATGGAAGAATGGGAATGAGAATAACCATAATACAATGTGACAAATAATAAAAAAAAAATCATCTATACAAGTTTTGGATATTATTGCAGTATTGTGTTTTATAAAACGTATTAATAAAAAAAATTTAAGCAATAGTTTCAGATATTATTATTATTAATGTATCAATAAAAAAAATCAATCCACACTTATAAAAATACTGCAGAAATATCAAGAAAGAAACTTTTATACAGGTGAATCTCTAGAATTCCACACACTAATGAATGAAAAGTACACTTAACTCGAGTACCACATGCTAATGAAACATACTCAAAAATTTATATAAGGCAGTTACTGAATTTTTTACTAGATTTATTCAAAGTTTCATTTGAAATATCAAACACATTTCAACCAATATCCATATCATAAAGCTTTGAATAAAAATATATATTTTATGATACTCGTAATATGTTATCTGAAACCTAAAAAGCTGATGAGAGAGCTCTTCATAATGCATGAAAATACAGTATAGTGCAAGCATTTTAATATAGCCTAGAAATAAAACAAAGCTATAATCTTACTGTAGCTAACAACATAATGTACTTAAATTCAAAACCAGTTAATAAAAAGGGTCTGTTATTAACAAGAATCATTTATTTACATGTTCTTAAAAGAGAATCACATTTTTAAGAAAATAATTTTATCAACAGCTATGCTCAAACGTCTTTTCTATGCTATTCTTCTTTAAGGAGAGGTTTTAATGTTTGAAAGAAACAAATGAATGGCATTTCAACTTCAAATATTATTTGATCTTACTAATATCTATTTATTTTCAAGAGAAAAAATGTATAAAAATTATATGGACAGTATAAAGTGTGTGTAAAATATCACATCATATATTCTAAGCATGGTGTTCAATGTTGTCTAAACTTTTATCTATAACTATCAGCTGTTATATAATTTTTTTCAACACAATTTATCATAATTATAAAACATTTTATTATAATAATTATAATATTAATTCAATTCCAAATGCAAACAATTTCATTATAAATTAATTCTTCACTATTTGTTTTTGCCATTGCAAAAAAGAATAATTTGAAGTTTTGACACCAAAATTACTAACTGTAAAACTGTAACCAATTTAAAAAGTTAAAGACTTGCATCTCAAGTTTTTACTTCTACTTCCTCAAGTTACGACTTATGAAGTATACTTGTTCACGAGGAAAACATATAAGGAGATAAAGCCATCACCACTATGCATTTCATTAGCAAACAATCACAACAATGTATTTTTATAAGCATTTCTATTTAATGGTCAGAAAATGTTTCAAAAGCTATTTGACCGACAGAGACCACCCATCAGTTTGTGGCTTCAAAACTCTCCATGAGGGGCATCTATTTTAGTGCATGTATATTAAGTCAGTCATAATTTTAAAAAGAATATATTTAAAAAATTCTCAATCTTCATATTTCTGTTTCATGTGACACGTCAGAGACCTGAATTCTTTACTCACAATTTTCCAACATTAAAAATAGACTGCTGCAGTTTCCAACTAACTGGAAACATAAACGTTACAAAATTAGAAGAAATTACCTAAAATTTGATCCTCCTATCTTCTTGATTTGTTGAAATATCAATAAATTGACCAAATCCACCAAAGGAGCCCCTTCCTTCTCACTCTGACTTTCAAGATTGTTTGTTAATCAACCTTACATGGCTGATAAACATGTTTATAATCAACAGTAAGAGATGTTTCTTTTCTATATAAATCTTACAAATTTAGCTACCACATGTCATAAACCATTTGTCAATATAAATTGCTTGGTATGTGGGTATTATATTTTGGTGCTGCAAATGCTAAAGAAATTTTTAGCCTATTTATAGCTTACATAGAAGGCTGGATAAATTATAGTAGTTTTGGAACATTCTATTCTGCTCTGAAATGCATATTTCAAAATTACATGAATCCTTTTTTGAATATTCAAATCTGCGAGTCTCAACAAGGCTTACAATAAAACATCTAAAATTTTTACTTAGGTGTAAAAGAATTCAAGTATACAGAAAATACCACAAATCTTTGTTTTTTGTATATATATTTTATTGATTTTTTATATTTTTTAACAAAAGTAATTAAAAGATAAATAATTAGAAACTTCTCAGCTTAGCCTTACAAAATTTTAGTAAAATAAAATGTCCAAAATTTCCTCAGTTCGTGATCTCGAGAGCTTTGTTAAGATTACGCTCAGCAATCATCTGGTGTCTACATTAGCTCAGAGGAAACAGATAATGGGCTCACTCTGCAACTTACTGCTTCTTATGTGAGTATTACAGCTCCAGCAGATACAAAGTACAGCAATAAAACCATAAAATTGAAATGAAACAGATATGAAAAAACTTTAATATTAATTTAGGAAGTTCTTATGGTTACACAAATAAAGTATGAAACTATATGATGAAAAAATTTTTATTCTGAGCTTGAAAATAACCTTTCATTTAGACTGACTCAGTAAAGGCTTTGGAAATTCAAAGACAAAGCTTTTAGTGCACATAGGACTTGTATCGTTTATTAAAAGCTTTGCTAGATTTCATGAAGACACATATAGTAAATTCAGAATTATAGTAAACATAAGTACGTATAACTTCACAAATATGTGGTCAGTCAATTCGGCTAAGCCCATGAACAATGTTTAAAAACAGTGCTTATATTAAAGAAATTTTTCCCACATGTAATTTTCTCTCCATAAAAACATGGACATTTATCAGTTTATTTAAACTAAAGAATGAACAAGGTGTTAGACAATAACCATTCTGTATTACAT